AACGTCAGATATCATTCTACTGTAATTTTTACGTTTTTGTAACGGTTTGTTCACGTTTTTTGTTTGTATTAACGGATGATGATTGCCTTCCGGCATGAAACTTTAAGTCCCGATAATCAGTTGTTTTTATTCATCTAAATATAATTAGGGAAAGGCGGGGCGACATGGCGAACGTTTTGAAAGCCCTGAGTTGTTGCAAAACTATAAGTCGTGAGGACATAATACTTTCTCAGTAGGTTTATGTTATTAAATTCTTTCATTGTCTGCATGAATTTCAGTTTGCAAGTATAACAATTTGAAATAAATATTAAAATAAAAAGTTCATAAATTTGTCATCTGGTCACGTGACCGGGGCAAGATGACTTATTATGCAATTTTTACCTCCAATTTTATAAAAAATTTAAAACTACCAATAACTCTAACTAAAGTTACAAAAAAAAAAAACAAAAATTGCAAAAAACTACTTCTAAAGAAGTTATACTTGAAGGGCACTATACATTATGAGAAACCGAAATATGGTATATATTCATTGTATTTATACGTCATATATTGTTATAATTTCGCATATACAAAATATACATAGGAACCAGCAATCTAAATAATATAGCTATCACCACCAATGGTTTATGCTGCAAAGATAAAAATAATAAATAACAATAACAATTATATATCAAAACAGTATTTAATAATTTACCTTTAGTTATTTTAAAATTTAACTTACGTGATGCTAGCTAATTTTTGACCGCATACTTGACTTATTATATGGCTTGTGGGTATATAAAAACTAAAAATACTGATATTTATTTTATATATTATTCTTGCCATTTTCACTTATTATCATGATCAGTCAACTATCTATTAAAAAAGCAAAATAATTATTAATAAAAAAAGAGATATATTAATATTGTAGCAATTATTTTAGTGATTCCTGTGACAACAATTTTAGCAATTGTGTAATAAAGTAATTTAATTTAAAGTAATTTACACTTAAAATTTGAACAAATTACTGAAAATAATAAAAACTATGTTTTTACTTTGAATATACGATATCTACTCAACGCGTAATGACAAAGCCGTCAAAAAGAAGTCATAATGACATATTTATAAACAGGTCTCAGAAAAGACGTCTTTAACCTTGATCTAAACGTCTTTTAATGCGTTTTTTAGACTATTTATTATGCGTCTTTTAAACGTCTTTTTAAACTTTAAAAAGACGTCATTTTAAAAACGCCTTTATAAAAGACGTCTAGAAGATGTCTTAAAAATTGACGTCTTCTAGACGTCTTTTTATCTTTTAAAAAGACGCCTTTTGAACGTCATTTTAAAAACGCATTCATAAAAGGCGTCTAAAAGATGTCTTCAAAACGTAGACTAGTTTTAGTCGTCTATAAGTGTCTAAAATGCGTCTTGCGCTTACTGGGAATCTTTTTCGTGTCAAATTTAATTTCTTTAATTTACGGGAAACAAACGAGATTGAAACTTTTTTACCATGTTGTTCTAAAATTTGCGTTTGAATTTCTTTTTGAAATACGGCATTGTTACTGACCACGAAATTAAATATTGTCTGTTCAATGTTTGTATTTATAGAATTTTTGATTTTATACGTTTCTTTTCTTTTTACTGTAGATGACGTGAAGGGTATATTATTATCGCTATTTTTTATAACACGACCAACAGCATTTCGAGTTAAATTACAAGCGTTGGATATTTCCTTGATTGAATATTTTTCACAATTTCTCATTGAAATAATCATATTTTTAATTTCTTCTGTAATTGTTTTCCGTACTTTTCTTTCCATTGATATTTAAAATATGAGTTAAAATTAATTTCATAAATGCACTTATAACTTTGCAAACGTGCACTTATAAATATGCAAACGTGCACTTATAACTTTGCAAACGTGCACTTATAACTTTGCAAAACCCTGTAATACTATTAAATTAGCGTATTAATATTATCAGACTAGCAGTATGCAACCCGTAATACGTGTTGTTAGTAAAAAAAATTAAAAAAAAACCGCGTATAGAAAAGCCTAGAAACTACTTTAAAATAGAAAAGCCTAGAAAATGACGTAACTCGACTAATAATAATAATATTAATTAGCGTATTCATATTATCAGATTATTAAGTTTCGTTCATGAAATAATTGAGTAATTTAACTGATTGACTAACAGTCTAGCCAAAACTATTTACACTAAGAGTATTTCAATTGTCTCAATAAAGGTTAAAAAAGTTGTGTTTTGTTTTAATAGTTACTATATTTTATTTCATTTTAAAAAGAAATAATATTTATGCTCAATAAAAACTTTTCTAAAACACATTTACGAAATGTCTTAGATAAATATATATTTTGAGTCTCTAATTTTTAGCTTCCTCTCTTATATACATCAGATCATTATTTTACAGAGTTATTTATGTCTATTCAGGGTAATGCGCGTCTATTCATTTTTATATGCGCCTTTATTCATTCTTATATGCGCATTTATTCATTCTTATATGCGCATTTATTCATTCTTATATGCGCATTTATTCATTCTTATATGCTTATTACAAAAGCAACTGTAAAAAAGCAATTTGAACAAAAAAAATATCATTTAAGCAATTTGTTTTGAAAAACAGTTTATTTCTCAAAACAAATTTTTCTTACAGCGTTATTCATTCTTATATGCGCGTCTATTCATTTTTATATACGCCTGTATTCATTCTAATATGCGCATTTATTCATTTTTATATGCGCCTTCATTCATTTTTATATGCGCATTTATTCATTCTTATATGCACCTTTATTCATTCTTATATGCGCGTTTATTCATTCTTATATGCGCCTTTATTCATTCTTATATGCGTTTTACAAAAGCAATTGTAAATAAACAATTTGAACAAAAAAATAACATTTAAGCAATTTGTTTTGAAAAAACAGTTTATTTTTTCAAAACAAATTTTTTTTATTCCCAGATAAACGAGATTAAAAATACTTAAAACGAAGACTTTTTACATTCGACGATGGTTTATTTAATTTAGTATTAGTTCTTTGTTTTCGATGATAGTTTATTTAATTAAGTATTAGTTCTTTGTAATTTTATTGTTAAATTTCTTGATTGATTAAGTTATTATTTATCTAATTATTCATTTATCTAGATTTAAATTTAATTATTTGTAATAATTATTAATACCAATACTTAATACCTATACCATGTAATATAATACTTAAGAGCTATACCATGAGAGGCTAGTGTTTGCCTAATAGAAAGACTCCAGTGAAATTTACAATTGTCCATAACAAGCACCGGCGCTTCAACCTTTTCATTCCTAATCGCTGGTGCCATCATTGTAATTATGAAAGTACAAAATGAATCTGCATTCTAGCCTCCAGTTTTTATTTCATAAGCAAGCACTCCCATTGTTGAAACAGCACAAATTAAACTAACATTCTTACCACGATTTGCAGGTGACTGTAAAATTGCTGGCGTACCTCTTAGCAAACAACCATATGTGCTGTTAGTGTGCACATTAAATCCAGTTTCACCCAAATAAATAAGTTTTTCACCTGAAGTTCCGTTTATTTCGCTTGCAAATGCATAGCGTGCATTAATAACTTGTGTTGAGTTTAGTTCATAGGCACATGCACACACATTTTCTTGATAAATCTGAGCGTTTAAGTTTTCTTGAAATAGTTGACTGAGATATGTTGAAGCCTGCTGCAGAATGATATTTTTTATTGCTTTTACCTCGTTTTTTATTGCGTTTACCTCATTTTTTATCAGAAAACAACTTGAATGCGGTCATGTCGTCGAAATATCCTCTGTTTAACTTAACGACAAAATTTTGAACTGCGCGCTTCGATAAATTAAGAGAAGTGGAAATGTTTGTTGAAATGATTGATTTCTTTCAATTAAATGCTCAAGCATTTCAATGTGCTCTTTTGTAACATTTTTCTTGTTTTACGATTGGTACTGCTGTTTTCTATTCCATCCATAGGGATGTATAATTTGATATTAATAATAATTATAAATAATTAAATTTAAATCTAGATAAATGAATAATTAGATAAATAATAACTTAATCAATCAAGAAATTTAATAATAAAACTACAAAGAACTAATACTAAATTAAATAAACCTTCGTCGAATGTAAAAAGTCTTCGTTTTAAGTATTTTTAACTTCGTTTAATTGGAAATATGAAAAATTTGTTTTGAAAAAATAAACTGTTTTTTCAAAACAAATTGCTTAAATGATTTTTATTTGTTCAATTTGCTTTTTTACAGTTGCTTTTGTAAAACGCATATAAGAATGAATAAAGGCGCATATAAAAATAAATGCGCATATAAGAATGAATTAATGCGCATATAAGAAAGAATAAATGCGCATATAAAAATGAATAAATGCGCATATAAGAATGAATAAAGGCGCATATAAAAATGAATAAATGCACATATAAGAATGAATAAAGGCGCATATTAAAATGATTAGACGCGCATATAAAAATGAATAACGGTGTAATAAAGTTATTGAAAATCATTTTGACATTGATACTAAATGATCAAGTTGATCAGTTTATGGTAGTTATCTAATATTATGATAAACTAGTTAAATGAGGCACAATATTTGCCTTTTTTTTTTAACACCACTGGATGCGACTTAATTATTTATAATATACTTGTAAAATATATTTTTTGCACTCATTTGTTTTATTAATATTCCATTATAGTTTTAGTAGTATTTTATCAAAGATACAGTTAAATTTCACAATTAACAATATACAAAATAGGTTTTCTTCAAATGAATGAATTGCACATATATTATATTAAATTTAAAATGTAATTTTCTGGTTTGTGTAAAAAAGATTTCTTGAAATAACTTCAGCTTACCGTATTATTTTATAAAATTGAAACTTAAAGAATTGCAAACACGTGTTAAATTAAATTTTGTGTTTTTACATAATTAAACAGTGTCAGAAAAAAGCAAAAATACAATTAAAATTAAAGATTTTTTGATTTTAGTTAAAGAAAATTGCTTAAAGATACGTGTTCCAAAAGGTAAGTATAATTTTAAAATATTATTATAAAATTAGTTTTTTGTTTCAAATATAGACATTTATATAAGAATTATATAAAAAAAAAGTATAATAGTTATATAAAAGAATAAAAAAGTTTGTATAAGGTTTATTAAACACGCTTAAATGATAAAAATACGTTACTTAAAACATTTTTATTTTCAATTTTAATCGTAATTTACTGCATTAAAAAACTGTAAAACGCTATGTCACCAAAATAAAACTAATGAGAAATTGATCATTTGTAAACATCAACCCCTTAATAAAACAAGTTTTTTTATAACACAAATAAAACTCAAGTTATAAAGGTTTGTTTAAACAAAAGTTCATTTTAATTATTGTAGCTTTTCGCCATAACTTTTGTCACCTATATTTCATAGTTAACATGCCAAAATGGTTTTAAATTTGTGGTAAACAGGTTCACCAAAATATTTTGCATATTTGTATAAGCTAAAAGTATTATCTTTCAGTAGCCGTATTTACGTATGATCGTTTAACCCTGCGTTAGGCTAACGGCTGGGTTAAAATTTAATGGCAGTTTTAACACCGGCAATAAAAAAAATTCGTATTCTCGTGTCCTCCGTTCAGTTAAAACAAAGTTAACGGAAAATAGTTAACGGTGAAATCGAACTCTCCTATACCCTACAGTTAAAACCGAAAACGGATTAATTTTTTAAAAAATTAAAAATTGTATCCGAACAAAAAAATGAGTTGAACTTTTCTCATCAATAACAGCTGAATAAACAGTTTATTATTTGTTTTACCCTCAACAAACAAGTTATGTTATGGGCTAAATAAGTTATATTATGTACTATATAATATTTATATAATTAAATTTTTATTCATTAAATTGCTAATGTATTTTTTTAGACATTATACTCTAAAATTCATGTTGACAACATGTATGCAACATTGCTGTATTATCACATGAAATACTTAAATCGCTACATTTTATTTATATTGTTTTTAATGCACGTATTATAAAACGCAATATATATATATATATATATATATATATATATATATATATATATATATATATATATATATATATATATTTATATATATATATATATATATATATATATATATATATATATATATATATATATATATATATATATATATATATATATATATATATATATATATATATATATATATATATATATATATATATATATATATATATATATATATATATATATATATATATATATATATACATATATATATATATATCCCAGCCGGCAAATAACGTTGAAATAACGTTGAAATACGACTGTAAAAGACTTTTTTACCATCAAAACGTGCTATGTATGTCAAAAGGTATATATATATGTAAGTTAACGTGCTATGTGCGTCAGAATATGATCACGATCAAAACGTACTATGCATGTACATTAGTGTTGCTGTACATTATTAAGGTATATTATGGATATTAAATCTATTCATAGTCTATACTTAGACTATTTAGAACTTTTTCAGTTTAGTTTAGTTAAAATAGCTAGGTATGATTAAAGAAAGAGATAAAACTTGTTTTATTCAAAAATACATATTCAAATATTACATATATTTACATGTAATTAAATAAAATCTACACAAACTTCTTCTCTTTTCCACCACCTTATTGAAATAAAGCGTAATTTAGAAAGTCAAACAATGTTCCATTAACCGAGGGTTTTTTTGGTCCATTAAGTACAATATAAGAAGCTGTAAATAAAAAAATATATTAAAAAAACACAAAAAGGGAAGATTTAAAAAAAAAATAATGAATAGAAAAGTGTTACGAATTATGAAGGTATATCTTTTTCAACGCCATATAGATTAGTGTTCTTAAAACATATTTTTCCACCTTTGCCCTTCATATCCATGGAGGCCATATAACTTTTCTAAAATACTCTGAGTTTTTAAAAAACAATATAACTGTTAGTTGGTTATTAATAACTTTTTCAAATATTTAATTTAAATAAAACAACCTTTATAATATTTTAAAAATAAATTAATAATCAAAATATAAAACATTTCTAGCATTGAAGAATAATTTTCGGGGTAGCCACATAAAAGTTTTATAAGAAACTTTATGTGGCCATTTATTAATGGTTTAACGTCCATGTTTATACACTTATGGGGCTTGGCAAGGGATCAAATAATGTCATTTGTTATGTTAAATAGCATGCATTTTCTAAAGCAATTTTTTACAATTCCATGCACTTTAAGGCGTTAACCAGTTTTGCAGACCGAGATGGGCATTTTGAACATTATACATCCATCAAAAAATAAAAAAGGAAGACTTAATGAGGAGCTTTGATCAATTTTTTACCTCTTTAGAGGATAATAGAGGATTTTAGAAGTGGTTTTAAAAAAAGGAGGATTTTAGAGGACTTTAGAGGAGCTGCAGACACCCTGATTATAAATGAAGTCACTCCACCAATTAACTGTAATTAATTTATCTGCAAAAAAACATGAAGTAAATCTAATATTATGCTTGTGGAGATATATTATATTGTGGAGAACCATCCAAACCACACAAGTGGAAAATTTGCATCCAAGTTTCCACTTGTGTGCAAATCTTGCACCCACTTGTCAACATTCTCATTATCACATTTTTATTTTGGAGTTGTGAATTTAAAATTTTCACAATACTGTTTGCTTTCTTTTAGAATTGAAATAGTTATACAAATAGTTATATATTTTGTATTAACAAAATAAATCTTCTTACCACATTATTTAAAAAATAATAATTGTAATATATAGATGTAATACCTGAAGAGAACTTTGTTTTTATTTGTATAAACTTAAGCCAATTCTTCTCTGCATTTTAGTGCAGTCAATGCCTTGGTACCTGGAAGCCGACAAACAGTTTTATCACTAATCCAATCAGATGGAATTACTTCTTCTTGTAAATCTTCATTCCAAACAGCTCCTTCCCGCATATTCGATTTGAAAAAATTACATGAACTAATATAAAATGAAGAAACCATAATATAAGTGTACTAACAGGCCTAATTAAACTAGCTAAATGTGAACATTTTATAACCATGATACTTGCTAAACAATAATATTAGTAGATATTATAAGCAAAGATAAGATTTTCTTTATTTTATAAATTTATTATATTTTAAACTCATTTTAGTTAATTTATTTACTACTCTATTATTCAGCAGAGTTCTGAATATATTATGTTCAAATAACTTAAGGCTCAATAACAAAGACAAATAATGAAAGAAAACTAGGTTGCTAAAACATAAACATCTACATAAGATAATTATGGAATATTGAAAAAAAATAGAAATACAAAAAAACAAAAATACTCATTATTAATATAAAATATAATAGTATAGTATAAGGTATATTATAATATATAAAACAATAATATCTACTTTTAATTAAAATATTTAAACAACAAAAATTAAAAAAGAAAATATTTTGATAAATAATAAATTATCATTCAAACAATTTTCAAGACCAAAAAATAACTTGTAACTTATTTTTTTACTTATCTTCATCTAATAAACATTACTTATTTTTTACTCATCTTCATCTAATAAACATTATATTATAATTTTTTTTTTATCAAAAAATAAAAATATTACATCAGTTACTTTTTGTGCTTTTCTTATTTTACTCAAAACATCAACTCAATTCTCGACTTTTTTCATTATTGAGTTTTAATTTGTAATGTTGAATTAACACTGAAAAAAAAAAATATTAGCAGACAAAAAGAAAATATTTCTTTATTGAAATATATGTAAATATTCAAATAAAGAAATTTTAGATCGATTTTTATAAATATAAATTTATATCAATCAATCTAAATTTTTTTCTTTTCCGCCACCTTTTTGAAATGAAGAGCATTTTTAAAAGTTAGACAAAATGCCATCAATTAAAGTTTCAGTCGCTCCATCGTATTTAATAGAAGAAGCTGTTAATAAAAAAGAATTAGAAAAAAAAAAAAAAAAAACACAAGGAGAAATTTTTGAATATATAAAAAATGAGAATAAAAAAGTTTTACATATCTTATAAAGGTATACCTTTCACTACACCATATAAATTAGTGCTCTTAAAGCATATTTTCACCTTTCCCCTTCATATTCATGTAGGTCACAAAATTGTTGGAAAATATTCTAAATTTTAATAGATAAGAGAACTGATATTAATTGTGCGAGAACTAGTATTAATTTTTTTTTTAATTTAAATTGAACTCATTATCAAACAATTTTTTTGCTAAATAATTTAATCCTTAAAATTCTTGAATAAATAAAAATTATTTTGATTACCTCAGCATTTTAAAGATATTCCATCGATTGCAATTGATTCACCTAAAAAAAACAAACAAGTAAAGCTAATATTATTGCTTGAAATTTTAATTTTCTTTATACAAATACTCATTATATTTTTAAAGTGACTGATAAAAATGTATTTAATTAAAATTTTTTCATTTGTACTAAAAAATTAATATTAAAGCCTTAATCATACATTATACAAGAGTATTTTGTAATACAATTTAAATAGTTGTTGCGATATGTAATTTTTTTATCCAAAGTTTAGCTTCTGTAAGCTTTAGAAATTTTTTAAAGAAATTATTGATGAACTTGGATCTACGGGTACTAATGTTTTTATATTGTTGTAATGTTTGTATTCATTCCCTGTTAGTTTCTGTAAGTCAAAATTTTAAGGTGTTTCCATAATAAATTCTGTTATATCTGAAATTTAGTGTTAGTCTGAATAATTTAATTTCTAAAATCTGTTTTGCATTGCCTGTCTTATAACATCTTTACTTGGAACAAAAACCATGTGGTTTAAAAGTGAGCTAGAAGCTTTCAACAATGAAGAAAATATTGCATTCAGTAATCCTTAAAATATATATTCAACCCGTCAGCAAAATCAGCTGTCAATAGTCCAAGTATTAGCATCATTAAAAATTCATCTTTGCTGCATTACATTTATTTTGGTCTAAGTAGTTAAGGATTTTTTAAATTT